TCTTTCTATAAACTCTTTCTTTCTATAAACTCTTTCTTTCTATAAACTCTTTCTTACTATAAACTCTTACTATAAACTCCTCCTTACTGTAAACTCTTTCTTTCTGTAAACTCTTTCTGTAAACTCTTTCTGTAAACTCTTTCTGTAAACTCTTTCTGTAAACTCTTTCTGACTGTAAACTTTCTCTTACTGTAAACTCTTTCTCTTACTGTAAACTCTTTCTCTTTCTGTAAACTCTTTCTGACTGTAAACTTTCTCTTACTGTAAACTCTTTCTCTTACTGTAAACTCTTTCTCTTACTGTAAACTCTTTCTCTTAACTCTTTCTTTCTATAAACTCTTTCTTTCTATAAACTCTTTCTTTCTATAAACTCTTTCTTTCTATAAACTCTTTCTTTCTATAAACTCTTTCTTTCTATAAACTCTTTCTTTCTATAAACTCTTTCTTACTATAAACTCTTTCTATCTATAAACTCTTACTATAAACTCCTCCTTACTGTAAACTCTTTCTTTCTGTAAACTCTTTCTTTCTGTAAACTCTTTCTGTAAACTCTTTCTGTAAACTCTTTCTGTAAACTCTTTCTGTAAACTCTTTCTGACTGTAAACTCTTTCTGACTGTAAACTTTCTCTTACTGTAAACTCTTTCTCTTACTGTAAACTCTTTCTCTTACTGTAAACTCTTTCTCTTACCTCTTTCTTTCTCTTACCTCTTTCTTTCTATAAACTCTTTCTTTCTATAAACTCTTTCTTTCTATAGACTCTTTCCTACTATATACTCTTACTATAGACTCTTTCTTACTATAAACTCTTACTATAGACTCTTTCTTACTATAAACTCTTACTATAAACTCTTTCTTACTGCAAACTCTTTCTTCAAACTCTTTCTGCAAACTCTTTCTGCAAACTCTTTCTGCAAACTCTTTCTGCAAACTCTTTCTGCAAACTCTTTCTGCAAACTCTTTCTGTAAACTCTTTCTTACTACAAACTCTTTCTATAAACTTTCTTACTGTAAACTTTCTTACTGTAAACTCTTTCTTACTATAAACTCTTTCTTACTATAAACTCTTACTATAAACTCTTTCTTACTGCAAACTCTTTCTGCAAACTCTTTCTGCAAACTCTTTCTGCAAATTCTTTCTTACTACAAACTCTTTCTTACTATAAACTCTTTCTTTCTATAAACTCTTTCTTTCTATAGACTCTTTCTTTCTATAAACTGTTACTATAAACTCTCACTCTTACTATAAACTCTTTCTTACTATAAACTCTTTCTTACTATAGACTCTTTCTTACTATAGACTCTTTCTTACTATAGACTCTTTCTTACTATAGACTCTTTCTGCAAACTCTTTCTTACTACAAACTCTTTCTATAAACTCTTTCTATAAACTCTTTCTTTCTATAAACTCTTTCTTTCTATAAACTCTTTCTTTCTATAAACTCTTTCTTACTATAAACTCTTTCTTACTGTAAACTCTTTCTTACTGTAAACTCTTTCTTTCTACAAACTCTTTCTTTCTACAGACTCTTTCTTTCTACAGACTCTTTCTTTCTACAGACTCTTTCTTTCTATAGACTCTTTCTTTCTATAAACTGTTACTATAAACTCTTACTATAAACTCTTACTCTTACTATAAACTCTTTCTTTCTATAAACTTTCTTTCTATAGACTCTTTCTTTCTATAGACTCTTTCTTTCTATAAACTTTCTTTCTACGAACTCTTTCTTTCTACAAACTCTTTCTTTCTACAAACTCTTTCTTTCTATAAACTCTTTCTTTCTATAAACTCTTTCTTTCTATAAACTCTTTCTTTCTATAAACTCTTTCTTTCTATAAACTCTTTCTTACTATAAACTCTTTCTTTCTATAAACTCTTTCTTACTATAGAAAGAAAGAGTTTATAGAAAGAAAGAGTTTATAGAAAGAAAGAGTTTATAGAAAGAGTTTGTAGTAAGAAAGAGTTTGCAGAAAGAGTTTGCAGAAAGAGTTTGCAGAAAGAAAGAGTTTATAGTAAGTTTACAGTAAGAAAGAGTTTACAGTAAGAAAGAGTTTATAGTAAGAGTTTATAGTAAGAAAGAGTTTATAGTAAGAGTTTATAGTAAGAAAGAGTCTATAGTAAGAGTAAGAGTCTATAGTAAGAGTAAGAGTCTATAGTAAGAGTTTATAGTAAGAGTAAGAGTTTATAGTAACAGTTTATAGAAAGAAAGAGTTTATAGAAAGAAAGAGTTTATAGATAGAAAGAGTTTGTAGTAAGAAAGAGTTTGCAGAAAGAGTTTACAGTAAGAAAGAGTTTATAGTAAGAAAGTCTATAGTAAGAAAGAGTTTATAGTAAGAGTTTGTAGTAAGAAAGAGTTTACAGAAAGAGTTTATAGAAAGAAAGAGTTTGTAGAAAGAAAGAGTTTGTAGAAAGAAAGGTGGGTGACGCTATGGAGGGACACCACAGACAACCGACTATACTCACTGATGTGGCACAAAGAAATGGAAGCACTGTCAACCCTTGGAGAGGAATCTCCGGTTACACAGACACTAAAACACTGGTGTATACTGAGAAACAAACAACAGATCTCGCCCAAGCCGAGCCCGCTAATCCCCATAACCTATAACCCACATTTGGGAGATGGACTCACACCGTCCGCCTGGCCACTAGAAGCCCAAGACGGATACATACCCATACACACGGTGCTCAACAATGCGGGAGTGAAGCCGCTACGAGAAATAGCAGATGGAAGCCCGCTTATGCTCATGCACCAGTTCCATTATGCCCAGTTGCAACACTACTATCATAACTTACCGCAGAGGACTAAAATTCACAGAGACCTCACATGGTATGAGACACTATGCTCGCAAGCGCCGGAGGCAGACGGGAGGGTGTCGGCGATATATCAAACCTTAATCACAGGAAATAGATAAAAAAAACAACCTGTACAAACGCCAATGGGAGGAATGGACGGCCAAATCCTTCCCAGACGACCACTGGGAAAAAATCTTGATACTGCAACACAAGTTCCCAATACCAGGAGGTAAACTTCAAATTGCTGACACACTGGTATCGCACACCCTCTGTACCCAGCCGATACATCCCGACTATACCGAACACCTGCTGGAGATGCAATGAGGGTATTGGAACGCTGCGGCATATCTGGTGCGACTGCACGATTATTGCGCCATACTGGAGGAAGATTGAGCATGAAATTCAAACCATCCTGGACGACCCCCCACCCCTG